GGCAGAGACATGGGAAGACCAGCCAGGCTTGATGAACAGGAACAAAAGTTGTGGTGCCTGCCATGGCATGCTTCCTTCCAAAACCTGGAATAGATTCTCAGATCTCTACACTTAGGAAAAGATCTGTGAAACCCACTGGTAAAGCATGTTTCTCACCCCCCCCTAGTGGCTGGGCCACTGAAAGAATGCTATTAGGTGCTCCAGTAACTCCTGTGCCATAGGTCTGGGCAGTCCATCTACATGTCTCAACCCTGCCCATGGTATGTGGGCATCTAGATGGTGCTGCACAATATAATTTCTGTGCTTTCTCCCCAGTTTTCTTTGTAAAAACCTAAAAAAACCCCACACAAATTATAGTGCACAGGCACGACACTGTTTTTAGTTATGTGGCCCAGTGGTGTTTTTCTCCACAAGTTGCCTGATTCATTCAGTGAAAAGGATGGTCTGCGGTCTGGATAGCCCAGGGCTGTGCAGTGAAGGAGGCTGTTGTCTGCTTAGACCCTGCTTCATTTCTGACAGAAGTGGGAAGGTATATACTGAATGAGGTAGGGGACCACAGGGAGGGAGAGAAAGAGAGAGAGAGAGAGAGAGAAGTTGGTTTCATGGCTAAGAGCAGAACTCTGCCCTGGGTTCTGCCTGCCTGTGCCCATGATGCTAGGGAAGTCAGTGCAAGCAAAGTTTTCACAGGTAGTTGCTAATTGCCCGTCCCTCATTTTTGAGACCCTAGTCTGATTTGCAGTTGTGTGGAGCTCTCATATGTGCACCTGAAGCCAGTGGGAACCAGTGCCTTACACACACAAAGTGCTACTTCACATGAGGTGCTCTGAAAAATCAAGTCCTAGACTTCTCAAAACCAGCCCTGAAAATGATACCTTTTCTTTCACCTGAATCTCTCTGTGCCTCACATCTCCCACTGTAAAATGAAGACACTACCTGCTGGCTTAGGGCTGTTGGGATGGCCAGTCCTTCTGTCTACAGGCCAAGCTGTCAGAATGAGGAGAGAACATGAGGAAACAGGGTGTGAATTGAATTTCCTGCAGCACGGATGGCCGGGAGACCTACCGAATGACCAAGACCAAACCAGGCACTGGACAAGCCTTGTCCATCCTGGGGGCTGAATAAGGTGGGACATGTATGGGGGACAATACATGCCAGGGTCACTAAGAGCTGCATGGCGATCCTTGTGTTGAGCAAGGAGCGCCCGGGCCACTGGACTGTCCCAGAAGGCGGGCAGGCAGCATTATAGACAACCCACATTTAAGTGTGCTGGTACCTGCAAGGCGAGCTGTCTCCCCACCCACTCTGGCTGCGGGTTGTAGGCACATGCTCCCACCTAGGGTGGCCATCATAGAGGACATTCCGCTTTTTTCATGAACGCTGTGTGCCCCCGGAGGCTGGGGGGGCATGGTGAGCTGCCACAGGCAGTGGCAGCACTGACGGCAGTGGGAGCGTGGTGGCAGCAAGCGGTGAGCTCCTGCAGGCGGTCGTGGCACTGTCGGCGGTGGTGGGGTTGGGGTGGTGCTGAGCTCCGACCTGGGGTTGGCGACCACTCACAGATGTCGCTGGCAGTGTTGGTGGCGGCCAGTGGCAATTGGGGACCGCCCACAGACGCTGCGGGCGGTGTTGGCAGCGAGGATGGAGTGTGGGGCGGTGAGTGGCGAGCAGCCTCAAGCATCGCTAGCTGCGTCGGAGGTGCCTTCTTGCAGGGGGTGCACTGCCACACTCAGGGGGCGCACGTGCTGCCAGTTGGTTTTCTGCTACTCCGTCCTCTGTTGAACCTGGCGCCTGTCTGTCCTCAAGAGAAAAACAGAGGACAGACACGCGCCCGGAACAGGGTCACGGCCCGACCAACTTTTAGCACGTTCATGTAGCTAGCTGCGCAGTTAAAAGAAACAGCGATCCAGTTTTAACCGGCTCCACAACTGCGCATGGGTGGGTTACAGACATGAAGGTGCTCAAAGTTGGTCGGGTCCAGGCCCGGGCCGTCCTCTACGCCGGCGCCCCACTCCCGCCGCTGAGGGGCTGGGCCA